TTTATCGTTTAAGTAATTGTGTGTAATCCTTGTCCAAATTCCACGTCCTATCACTTTCGTGCTATGGATCAATAACAAAATTCTATCATCCGGTATTCTTTCTCAAATTTCTGCATGCATGCATGAAAAATATGTTATTTTTAAAATTATTCATCATGGACAGAGGAATAAAGACCAGAGAAAACTTCACCAAAAATTGTTGAACGAACATGATAAATTTGTAAATAAATATATCAAAAGACAAATATAAAGTGTAATCCTATTAATATTATAAATGTGAAAGTTTCTTTGTTTGGATGTTAAGATGTTTGGATGTTTGGATGTTTGTACGTCAATCACGTCGAAACTAATGAACGGATTTTGATGGAATTGGGTATACAGATAGGGTATTACCTGACTTAGATAATAGGATACTTTTTACCCACCAAAAGGTTCCCTAGGGATAAAAGTACCTCCAACGGCGCCTATTTTTGTGAACGCTGCCTAAACGGTATGAGATATACGAATGCTTTCTAAAGAAAAGTTGGAAAGCCTTAAATTATCTATAAAAAAGTCCGCGATGTCATATAACTATATGCAAGGGTTCTGCCACAAAAATAAAAATAACTTCATATAAGTCTATTTAAATTTTTTGTCCGTCTTTAAACGTTTATTTGAGAAGTTGATATTAAATCCTTATCAAAATAAATATGTTTATCGTCGAAGGAATTTAATATACATGAAAATTGTCTTTTACACTATATAGATTGGATGCGTAGTTGAGATTTTAATACGATGTTTTTGAGAAAATAAAACAACGTATATTGCCGATTTTCTAAATACTATTTTATGTACATGTATGTATTAAGATAAAACATCATTTTTAATGTAATCGGTAATATTAAGCCCAACAGATGGCTTTGCCTGTATTCTACATTGCGATGTTGAATTACCGCAACTACTTGGATATAGATGACTGTGACTCTGCGGTGCGATTCGCGCAACACGCTGTATGACGTCAGTGATTTTGCTCTGTTGTCTGAATCTACTTCTCAATTAACTCTTTGTTTATTTCTTGGGTCTACCTCTAAATCTTGCAAGTCAAGAAAACCCAACGTGCAACATTAGCAAAAGCAGCGACCGCGGTGCCCTATTGCAACAATGTAAATTAATCGTGTGGGACGAGTGCACAATGTCGCACAAGCGCGTGGTTGAGGCTTTGAACCGGAGCCTGCAGGACATCCGCAGCAATTAGACTCTGATGGGAGGTGCTGTTGTTGTACTCACTGGTGATTTTCGGCAAACTCTTCCAGTTATCGAAGAGTACACCGGCAGATAAAATTAACGCGTGTCTCAAGGCTTCGTCACTTTGGTCCCACGTAGAAAAACTCCACCTTACTCGGAATATGCGTGCACAACTTTACAATAATACAGAGTCAGGTGCGTTTGCGAGTAAGCTGCTCGAGATCGGAGATGGTAGGCTGAAAACCGATCCGGACGGCAAAATCATTTTCACCAATGAATTTTGTCATCCAATAGCTACCGAGGAAGAACGACTCGCCAATGTATTTCCCAATTTAAAAAACAAATTAAATAATGAGGAGTGGTTGTGTGAGAGAGCAGTACTGTCGCCAAAAAATGAATTAATGAATAAAATAAACAACAAGTTATTAGATGTAGTAGATGGCGCATCGAGGGTGTACACGTCCATAGACACGATGATGGCAAGCGATGACAGCACTGCGTATCCCGTGGAGTTTGGAGCTGAAGGTTGGCGTCCCAGTTTTGTTGATGCGTAATCTTGACGCTCCGCGATTGTGCAACGGCACAAGATTACAAATCAGCGAACTGGGAAGAAACATTCTGCGAGCAACAATACTTACGGGAGCAGCTAAAGGCGAGAGCGTGTTGATTCCCCGTATACCCATTACACCCCACAATTTGCCATTCCAGTTCAAAGGGCTGCAGTTCCCATTGATATTGGCATTTGCTATGACCATCAATAAGTCCCAGGGACAAACCCTAAAAGTGACCGGCATATATTTGGGCATTCCCTGCTTTACCCATGCCAGCTCTATGTGGCATGTTCTCGCGTGTCAAGTGCAAGGAACCTGTACATATGTACTTGCTGCAAATAATAGATCATACAACATCGTATATAGATCAATATTATGAGATAGTCATAATCGATGTTGTATGATTTATTATTATCAAAATCTGTTCAGTGGTGGCAGCGTGATTGACTGGCAAACGTGAAATTGTTAATGAAAAAAAATAGAAGTTAGTTAGGTCAGATTTACTTTACTCTGGATATACCTACAGAATTATTTAAATTATTTTTTATCTCACTAAACATTTCCTTAGGAACCACGCGGGCGAAGCCGCTGGCAAAAGCTAGTTATCTGATAAACCGAAAACGACTAACGATGATTATAAATCCAAGTCTATATTTATAAAGGTTAATTTAATTCACAATTAACTTTTTCGGTAGTCTGCCATCATTAGGTTACCTACCACATTTTTAACGCAGATAATATAGAGGTATTTTCAACTTTGAAATTTTTCACCGGAAACTTTTTGGTACCGCGAATTTTCACGAGTGTTGTCAAAAAGTTCCGGGGAATTGTCGGTTTGCACGTGTTTAATTATAACTTATTGTGATTTCAGACTTTTTCGCTTACATCAAGCGGTACATTTGAGAATTTATACCTTTTTTAATTATACATCAAAACTTTTTTCTGTTCGTAAGATAAAAGAAAACAGTATTTTGGTAAATAAAAATTGCAGTGATACTTATAAATAAAACTCTCTCAAACCAAATTCTTTATTGACCTTGTAACAATGTTACACTAGATAAGCCATACACGTTCATTAATTTACAAATATAACGTTATATCTATTATATTATACATTATAATAAATCATATTTCTAAAAATAATATTACAATTTTAATAATTATGGTACAACATCTTTTCACACATTTTCCAAAAAAAATTTTATTAAATTTTTGTCACATTATTCCTTTGTTATTTTTATCATTTTATATTCCCACATTTTAAATATCATGACATTTTTATCAATAAATTAATCAAAAAATATTTATTAAGATAATGAGGATTCCTTCAATGGCATATTGATAAATTCTTTAAGTGTATAAAAGGCATACAATTTGTTATTAATATTGGTAATTAAAAAATTAATATTCTTGCTTTACGTCATTTTTATGTATTCGTGATTAATGCTCAGTTATAGTACTTTTGTCTGGTTGATTCGCTTTAAATTAATCTCCCAAACTTTTAATATTTTAGTAATCTCTTCATCCAACATGTTTTATTTTATTCTCTTCATCCAACATGTTTTGTTTATTTTATTTTACTCCAACAAAAGTATCATCTATGGGTTGTTCTTCGAATCTGTCTTATTCTGTCTTCCATGGAAATAGTTTAAGATGTAAATTTTTTAGGACATATATACTGTTTACTTTTTATTTACATTTTACATTATTTTATAAGTTACCGACTTCAAAAATAAAATTATTTTTATTTTTATAAAAAAAAACTTCGAAAATATCATCAAAAGTCATTTTACTCCCATTCCAAAAGCATTTCATGACACCAAATTTACCTATAAATTATTGAATATCAACTTAAAAATATATTATCGTGTCTGCTTTACTCCTTATGAGTTATATATCCTCAGTTTAAAAAAATAATCTTTCAAAACACTCATCAATAATAATCTCTCAAACTTTAAGTTAAATTTTTGTCACATATAAAACATCATTCATCGCAGAAACGTCAATAAAATTCTTACCTCATAGCTAAGGCAACTTTAGTTCATCCTTTTGGGTACGCGGAAGGGGTCCTCAGCCGACGGCAATGCCTTGTTGAACAAATACGTGCACATTTGAGAACGGTGAGTAAGTTTTCATGGTTATTTACATTTTGTCATGAAATATGTCATTAGTACTTCTTTCTTAATTTCTTGAATTAACATAGATAAAAAAAAATTATGAAGTAATTACGACCAAATTTGACATTGTATAGAACTTAAAAAGTCGACTAAATTGTTACAGATTGGTGAAATCAAAACATAAGAATTTTACTTTTCAAAAACTTTAATATTTTTACTTATAGCAAAATGCCTTAAACGAAAGATCAAAGATTAGCAAAACAGCGCATGTGTAAAAGAAGACGCTATAACGCTAGCTAAAAAACAAAAATGATCCGAGCTGCTTGCCATCGAAAAAGAAAAACGAAGAAATCAATATATAATATATAAAAGAAAAGAAGAGAAAAGAGTTGCCCAAAATAAAGATTAAATTCCTCGGTCACAAAAAGAACCAAAGTAATGACAATATAGTATTTTCGACCTAAGTATAATAAAATTCGGTTTGGTAATAAAATATTTTCACAAACTTTACTAAGTATAATAAAAGTGTGTGAAAATATTCATTTATTTTCATTTTGATTGATCAACAAGAGATTGGGTGCGTTCGGAGGACAAAACGCTTGCGGCTGGTGGGACAAAAAGCATATCACCACTAATTTTTTTCAGACGTCAGAGGTGAGTGTTGGATGCTGTATCTCCAGCAGTAAGCGCTTGTGCCTTTCGAACGAAACAATTGAAAGTTCTTTCCGAAACTGGGCCCACATTTGATTATTTCAAATGTGGGGCCGCAATTCGGGATTAATAACGTTTGATTAGACCATTTATCATCACATTCAACAATAAAAAGTGTTTCACGTGATTACGTGCAAAGGCCATTTTAAGGCCTTATTAAAAAATATTATAAGACTAATTTGTTGGTAAGCGTTCATAATTATTAAAAATAAAATATTATTCCTAAAATAATGTTGAAACTTAAATGGTTCATTAAGTCAATAGTTGTCATACATTGTTGACTTGATTTAGTAAATAACCTATGGGATCGACCAGAACGTAGAGTAGGCAAATTAATGAATGTCATTTTAAATTATTACCAAAGATTTACCTAATTATAAACCAAGAAGACTATAATGATTAAGTTAACCAAATAGCTATTCTAGCATCAAAGATGCGCTTGAATCAGTTACCTGACTAAGTGCAACACGGTTAAGGATCTCATCTAGGCATATTTTGTTTTGTTTGTCTTTATGCCAATGTTTTATAAATAAAGAATATTTTAAGATTATTTAAGTGTTTATCGTGAAGTACCCAAATTAAATATTTTTATATCATTTACTCCAACACCCCGTCATTATGTTATACGCAGATATCATTCTCCACGTACGGTGTCATGCCTCAACATGAATAATTCTAAATTTAAAAATATTACAGTAAATATTATAATTCGATGAGCGCCTTTTATTTTAAAATTCGATTAATAATAATAATAGTCCAAGATCCCAGAGCCCCCAGACCTACGTCATTTTAGCAAAGCTGAAATTTTGAGGATTGTTAGTACAATGTGTTGTTAGGAGCTATGCGTACCCACTACCTTGAAAGCGGGGCCGTTTCTCAGGTAGCGCGAAATACAGGTGCGTAAAAAACTTACTTACCTACGTTAAAGTAGCAAAGTTCGTTTTTACATATGTTTTTGAGAATATTATGTAGAATTCAAATTCACTATTGCCAGACACTTTCCGTGGGCCATTACTTCTACCAGACGTCTTTAATATTATTTAAAAATTAGGTAAACTATTGAATATTAAAAGTACTTGGAGTGTTTAGGAAGATGAGGAACATTATTTTGGATATTATTTCAAGAATAGAATTACAAAATATTATATGGTTTTCTCTATAAAAATTTATTTTAAATGTTAAGATATTCACACATTATTATGAACAAAAAAAATTATTATGTCCGTAGCATTTTCATGTTAGTAGCATGTTATGCATTTTCATTATCATCATCATCATTATCCGAGCTTACTTCCCTCATCAAATTCACATTCAAATTGAATATTTAAATCATCTTCACCTTGATCTTCATTGTTACTTGAATTCTCTGTAAAAATAAATAATTTAATGATGTTGAAAATAGTTACAAGTATATTGAAATCATTTAAAGTTAAAATAAAATACCTAATTCGTTTTCAAGTGACTCGCTCACAAAACTTGGTAATTGGTCACCGTCAAACCAGTTAAAATTATATTGGCTATCTTTTAAAACCCACCCATTGTTCTCTGGGCTCAAAATGCTAGGATTCTTCATATGAGCATTGCTCCAGATACTTGCAATATAATTTGCTCGTCGAAACTGTTGAAGCAATTCGGATTTGCATGGTGGTAAATTGCTTGCGTCAAAATTTCTTACATTTTGCCGCTGGAATTCCTCATTCACATTGTCAACTGTTAATAAAAAGTTGTAGCCGTGCAGCATCTACATCAATTATTCCGGAAACATTTTATAACTCGCAGATAAATTTTTGAATTACATCGAATAATAATATTAAAGACGTCTGGTAGAAGTAATGGCCCACGGAAAGTGTCTGGCAATAGTGAATTTGAATTCTACATAATATTCTCAAAAACATATGTGAAAACGAACTTTGCTACTTTAACGTAGGTAAGTAAGTTTTTTACGCACCTGTATTTCGCGCTACCTGAGAAACGGCCCCACTTTCAAGGTAGTGGGTACGCATAGCTCCTAACAACACATTGTACTAACAATCCTCAAAATTTCAGCTTTGCTAAAATGACGTAGGTCTGGGGGCTCTGGGATCTTACTCTATAATAATAATAATAAAAAAGTAAAACCTCGTGAAAGCCGAATCAGATAAAAAACTTAAATATCTGAACCTGGCGCACGAGGTTACCGATATGTGGCGAGTGTCATCCACTGAGATCATCCCAGTCGAAGTGTCAACGAATGGCCTAGTCCCAACTTCTCTTCACGACCAAGAGTTTGGGACTCCGTGACGGACCAATGATTGCGAGGCTCCAGCGGGCAATCTTGCTCGATAACGCAAGGATCGTCCACCGTTTTCTCTCTTTGTCGCCCTGACCCCCGGCCGTCTGGCCTCCTCTGTCGGGGGGAATCCTCCCACCCCTCGAATCGTCGAGGGGTTGGGGAGAGTAAATTTTTAAATGCAAAAATAAAAAAGTAACATCAGATCTTGAAGTTGCTATAGTATTTGAAAATTTATTTACTGAAATTCCAGTCTTAATTACACAATCTTTGAATTCCTCTTCCACTGTTGCTGAATCTATTTTAAAGGCAAGTTTAAATAATTCTAATAGCCAATTTAAGTTTCAACACATTGATTTTAAAGATAAAATAAAATCTTTTAATCAGCTAAAGAAAACAAAAACTGCTGATTTATGGGGTAATTCCATTGAAGTTTCTAAATCGGTAATTGAGACAATAGCTCCAATCTTAGCTTATATATTTAATGAATTATAATTCATTTTAATGAATGTACTGATTGTGGTATTTTTCCTGAGCTCATGAAATATAGTAAAATTATTCCTTTACATAAATCGGGTAGCACATCTGACCCTACTAACTTTAGACCTATATCCGTGCTACCTACGTTTAGTAAGATTTTTGAAAAAATCATGCTGGATCAAATACAAACGTACTTTTACAAGAATAAGCTTATGAATCGACAACAATTTGGTTTTACAAGGGGTCGCTCGATAACCGAAGCCGGTGTCGAGTTAATACAAGAAATTTTTAATGCCTGGGAGGATTCACATGATGCGTTAGGTGTTTTCTGTGACCTATCTAAGGCATTTGATTGTGTTTTTCATGAAACATTGATTAGGAAACTGCATTTTTATGGATTTAGAAATAACTCATTCGATTTCATTGTCTCATACTTGACTGACAGAGTACAGAGGGTTGATATCAATGGCAAAAGATCCCCTGGATCGAAAATTAAGATGGGCGTTCCGCAGGGCTCAATACTTGGTCCTTTCTTGTTTTTGATTTACATAAATGACTTGCCTTATTTCGTAAGGGATGATCACGAAATAGTTTTGTTTGCGGATGACACTTCACTCTTGTTTAAAATTAAAAGAGGGTTGCCTCTAAATGACGATGTGAACAATTCTATCGCTAAAGTAGTACATTGGTTTAATGTAAATAATCTTCTCCTTAATGAAGGAAAAACAAAATGCTTAAAATTTGTACTACCTAATGTTAAAAAAGTAGATATAAATGTTAATATAAAAGATAAGAACATGGGCCTTGTGGATACCACAGTATTGTTAGGAATAACATTAGCTTCTAAACTACAGTGGGGCCCACATATTGATAGATTATCGATTAGACTTAGCTCTGCAGCATATCCCATAATGAAGATACGTAGGTTAACTGACATAGATACTGCCAGATTAGTATACTTCAGTTACTTTCATAGTGTTATGTCGTACTGTATCCTATTGTGGGGAAATGCTGCCGACATACAAACAATTTTTGTGCTTCAGAAAAGAGCAATTCGATCAATTTATAATCTTAGGATTAGGGACTCTTTAAGGGAGAAATTTGTGGAAATAGACATTATGACTGTTGCTTCTCAATACATATACGAGAACTTAATGTACGTTCATAAAAATATTAGTTTGTTTTCTATAAAAAGTGATGTACACAATTTTAATACAAGAAATAAAAATAAATTAACGGTGCCTGTCACTAGACTGCAAAAAGTTAATAACTCATTCAAGGGTCTTTGTGTGCGCTTCTACAATAAGGTCCCAAGCAAAATACAACAATTAGATATCATGCAGTTTAAATCTACTATTAAAAAATACTTATTAAAAAAGCTTATTATAAGGTATCCGATTATATAACAGATAAGAACGCTTGGACTTGAGATGATCCAGCAACTGGATAGGTGATTACTTCTAAACTCATTATCTTGTTTCCATTATTATTCAATGATAATGTTATCATTATAAGACCATAGTTTTTTTTTCTATCTCTGTTTATAATGTATTGATCTGGTAATGATATGGTTTTTGTAAATGTCATTACACTTATTAGAGCTGGTGAGTTTCTTGCTCGTTCTTCTTATCAGCCAAAAGACGTCCTGAATGAGTGACAGGGAAAAAATGTTGGACGATTCAAAAGTACTTTTAAGAAGTCTATTTGAATAAAGATTATTCTGACTTTGACTTTGACTTTGATTTTGCAGCCATAAATTAGATAAAAATGAATAAAAACGCCTTACATGGAGGTTTTAAGAAAAATAAAAATCTTGAAAATTTGATAAACTTTTTTTTTTAATCCACTTTATACTATTTTATTATATTTTCTAATATCTTTGATATTGTTGATAATATACAGGCTAGTATGTTGTTATTTGTATTACATAGTATGCCTTTTTTATCTAAATGTATAGTCAGTTTATTTTTAAAGCATATAAAAAAGACTCATTTACCATGCACGTATTTATAACGTAATATAGTAAGTCAACCAATAAGTAAATTGTCGAAAGTATTTTATATATAAGTCAAAAAAGTCTAGCGAGTGCTTGCTTTTGGTATTTTAAATTATTTGGTTTATTTAAGCAGTAATATCTGGACTGAATTCTATACATCTTAATGTTTTTGTTGTGCTGTCTAAGTAAAATTGACACTTCGTCATATCAGAATCCATACATTTTGTTATATTTTTGGCTACATTTATAAAAAAGTTATTAAAAGTGTCCGCGATGTATTACTTGTCATCTGTCTTTTATATTTTTTTCATTTTTAATAATATTTTAAATTATTTTCCATGTCTTTCTATTTTTTTTTTTAATTTTTATCACGAAATGCAAAATCTTTTTCCTATTTGCTTTCTGTAGCACAGCTCTAAAGGTACGCTTATATTTTTAATTAGTTTTTTTGTTGACTAGGATACATATTTTGTAAAAAGTTGATTTTTTCTAAATTTGTTTAAGACATCACTATTCCTTTCGTTGTACATTTCTCAATGAATTCTAATGAAAAGAATTCGCCATCTTTTCATTAGGATCCGTTACGGTAAAAATTTGCCCTTGCTGAGTTTCTTGCCGGTTCTTCTCAGTACAAGGTCTCCCGCCGCAGTTTTGCGAACCATTGGCGTAGTTTTCGCCTTTCATAAGTGATATATATATAAGCCTATACTGAATAAACGATTTTGATTTTGATTCCAATAGTACATCAATACCACTATAAATAGGTCTATGTTCCAAGTTAATGCTGATTTACGACTAAAGCGCATATTGATAATAAGAGCATATAACAATGGCTTCTAGCAAAACGATATTTACAAAATTGTGCATTATAAGTTGCATTATATTGCGTAACTGGATATAACCAAAAAATAATTAAAAGTTTCATTGGAAGCTCTTATTGGGGATACTCACATTTGAGTGATAATAGTGAATCTGTTACTATATATAAAATATGTATAAAGTAGACTAAATAATTACCACTTTATTTTCATGACATTATCTATAGTCTTACATTTAATCTCGAACTAGTCATGTAGAAAATATACGATCTGCAGTCCGAATAATTTATGGAACCACTATCTGAGCAATTATTTATGATATTATTAACTTTCCATTTCTGAATAAGTATAAAAAATACGGCATTTTCATACAAATAACTATTATTTCATTATTCCCATGGTGAAGCGCAAAAATAATCTTTTCTACACATATGTACAATTAGCGAGTATGATAGACGACCCTGTTGGAAAACCGGAGTCTGTAGAATCCTACACAAACAACGGGTGGCAACCAGCAAAATTAAACCTTTGCTCTAACATAATAAGGTCCGCCTTTACATAATCGCTTCGAGAGCCACAAATCCGCAGTACCGCTTTTCTCTGTAAATACACTTAGTATATGTCGAACCGAACGTTTTTGTGTGGGATCTAAGGTTTACATTTGAATGGCAGGCAGCCTAATGCTCGACGGGGCTTTACAAAAGTAAAAATGCGTTTTCATAAAAGCGCTGTGCTGTGTTTTTTGCGGAACAATATCGGTTCACGGCTGTAGTGATACTGTTACTCCCCAAGGCATCTTATTAAATATTTTACTTTTTATATACATATTAGTTTTTAAAGTTATGATTATTTTCATTATCCGTGTTTTACAGGCCACCAACCTACACATCATCATCATTATTATACATCACTTAACCTCTCAAGCTTTAATAAGTCTTTGAGTTTCTCAAGCCCTAATGAGTCTCTAAGCCTATCAAGATCTAATAAGTTTCAAATAAGATTCTAAATCTAAATCCTTACAAATGTAACAATGTAACTAACAATGAACCTCCAAAAAATAACAGAGTAAATATTTATATGTAGAAGCTTTGTTAAATAAAACAAAACAAAATAAAACGAACATTTACAAATAAACCTCTAAATGTAAACCTTTGCATCTGAATCACCCTGATGCACAA